CAGGAATCGGGCCAGCCGAAAGCAGTGGAGCAGGAGACTCCGGTGGTCTCGCAGGGCTCGGACCAGTACGTGGCGCCGGACGGCCAACAGGTCAGCATCACGTGGTTAGCGGACGAGAACGGTTTCCAGGTGCAGGGCTCCCACATCCCCACGGCGCCGCCCATCCCGCCGGAGATTCAAAGGGCGCTCGAGTGGAACGCCGCTCATCCCGAGGAGGACGATGGCGGTCAGAGACCACCGGGAAGAGGTGAGACTCGATAAATAATTAAGTATCAATTAAATAGTGACGACCTCCCATCTCGCGTCACACGTCGCAAGTACGTTTCCGCCAGTATCTCGGTTTTGACGCACGGAAAGGACTCTTTGAAATTCGCGAGGATTAAAAAAAAATATTTCATCACATTCAAACTGACGCTCGACGGCAAACGGTTAAGCGGGAACTTTTAGAAAACTCGTACGAACAGATTGCGTTTGTTCTCGAAAACGAAGTGTCTTCGTTCAATGCGAGAAATACGCGAGATCGTGGAACGTTCTCGCACAGGGTCAACGTACAAAATTTATCGCGAGCTCGGGAACACAATTAGGGGAGATTAATAATCAAGTGCGCGACTTCAAAAGGCACGGTGCTCGAAACATTATTTCTACTCTTCCTCCCTCCTCCTCGGGGATATCACTCGCGCGACCGCACGGCGCTGCGCGGTAGAAATGAAGTTTCTTTGTGTCCCAACCGGGGGGTTTAATTAATTTCGTAATTGGAAGAAGCGCCTTCGTCTGGAGTGGACGATTAAACCGCGCGCGCGCGCTTTTTCTTTTTCGTCGCTCGCTGAAATTCCGCCGTGCGATTCTTCCGCGTAACGGGAAACGGTTGACCGAAATAACCGAATTACCGCACGACGGAAGACACACGACTTTCGGGGGATAAGCCGGGGCGGCGAAAAAAAAAGGGTCTCGCAACCGATCCCGCCGCGAAATTGATTTACGTCCGGCGATCCCGACCGTCGTTTCTGTCCGCAACCCCGTTTTGATCAGGTAGCCATTTGAATTTCCCTGTGCGTTAAGCGACGCCTCGTCCTCTGTGTTTCCGACAAACAGCGGGAGGGGAGGGGGGTAAATCAGTTTACTCAATCGCAGTTCGGCGGCCGGGGCAGTAGCTCACCGTGAGACTCGCCCCGGAACCGTTTAATTCACTTTGGTCCTGAACTCGAAATTGAAATTGGCCCGAATACGGGCGCACCGGTGAACCGAAAATATCTTTGTGGCGACCGCGCACCGGGAACGAAAACAATTTCGGCGTACGTTAACCGCTTTTACGGAGCGAAATCCGATTACTCCACGTACGGGTGGCCGATACGTGCTGTCGACGCCGAAAGACTTCTCATATTTCGTCTCGATAAATAAAAGTCCCATCTGGAATCAGATCCCGAAACGGATCCTCCCCCGCAGCGCGCGCATCGCGAGTCGCGGGAGCGTAATTGGTCCATCTTTTTCACGCAAATCTTATATTTGTTCACATCTTACTTTAACTTCCGTATTTATTAACGTCTCTTAAAGATACCTCTTAGGCCTGGTTTTTCATTAACGATTAACCAGAAGTTAGTCGATGCTCTGTCTCTTCTAATAAGATAGAAAAAGACAGAGAGTTTACTGAACTCTGGTGAACAGTTGACTGACGTTTGTGAAACTGACCCTTAAGCCCGGCTTCACCAACGTCGCTTAACTTTAAGCTTAGCTCGATTCGTCCTCCGTCTCTCTTCAACCGTTCCCTCGGAAAGAGACAAACAATGTATTAAACCAAGATGAAAGTTAAGCGACGTTGGTGAGAAACTGGGCCTTAAGTCTGTTTCTATTGATGCAGATTAACTTTAATCCCGGTTCAACATACTTTATATCTTTTTCTAGTTTTGAAAATCAGATAAGGCTTGTAAGAAGTGATTTAAACCGAGATTAGAGTTACTCTGCGTTGGTAGAAACAGGCCTTAGGCCCGGTTTCACCAGACGTCGCTTAACTTTAATCTCATTGTCAGTTTAATTCATGTTTGTCTCTGTCTAAAGTAACAGTTGGAAAGAGACAAGCCACGAATTCAGCTGAGCTTAAAGTTAAGCGACGTTGGAGAAACCGGGCCTTGGAGACACTTGATATCGTCGGTCTGCGGTTTTACAAAAATACATTCCACCTAGCCCGGTTGTATTGTACCCTCACGGATTTCTCTGTCCGCGCATACACAGGGTACACATAATAAAGCGTCTACCTGTAACCACGTTACCGAGCTACCGGCACCACAACGCCGAGGTCTCCGTTAAATATTTCAGGCGCCGTTCCTTCCTCACGCTCACGCTCGCCCTTCTATGTTGCAGGTTAATCAGCCCAACTTTACCTCAAACGTGACCTGATTCCGAGCCAGCTTGCCATGGACAGAACCGACCCCGAGCTTTCGAAACGCAAACACATAAAAATAAATATAGTGTGGTATATTAATCTAGGATACAAACGTAACACGAAGACAAGGCATGAGACACCGATATATAATAAGCTATGTACTCCCGAGATGATTCTTTATCTTATCTTGTATAGATGAAAAAAAAAATAAAGCGCACTGTTCGGCAGTTTCACCGAGGGAGAGATGCCCGTGCCCCCCCGATGCACGCGCGCGCCCGCCTCCGCACGCAAGAAACGAGAACGACACGCGCGTGCGAATCGTTTACGCGTGCGTCGAACGTTAATAGTATATATGTATACATAACTTGTGATTTTTGTATATAAATAAAAGCGTTTTGCCCAAGTTGGACATATCTTATTGTGACTATATACGCTTCACCCCGATCCTCCACCGCCTTCCCGTTTCTCCTGCTCTACCGACGTCGCGAGCGATTCGGCTAAGCTCAAATAAGCTCTTTTCCCCAAACGTTACACTCTTTTTTTATATTCGTTTAACCCGCTGCGATAAAATTTGGATCTTACACTACTTTTCTGAAACTTTATTTCTCCCGTACCGTCTTGCATTAAAACTTTTTCTATATTCTTGCGGATTTATTTTTTTCTTATCGCATAAGTCTGGAAGCAAAGTTCGTAAAGAAGCTTGAGGGAGAATGGCGTAAGCGCCTCCTTAGAATAGTTCGTGAGCCACTTTTGATCACGCAGGCCGTTTTCCGACCCTCCATTTTTCACGAGATCGTCCCGACGTGCGTTCTCCGCCGAGTCTGTTATTTAGACATCGGGCCTCTAGAATTGCATGCGCCGCGGATAATTTTACGAGGGGGACGCGGCGAAGAGGTTCTCGCTTTACGTGTGCTTCACATTGGCCGTAAAACGACATAAGTATAAGCGAAATGTTAAATAATGGGCGAAGCGCGCGCGCGCGCAAGCTTTCATGTAAAAATGTTTCCTCTTCGTGTTGCTCGCGCTCGCTCTCGCCGCGGAAAGGTTAAAAACTGCGAGTACGTCTTCGACATCGCGCCGTTATTATGCAATTTTGCCTCGTGCAGATTTTCAATCTGCCCATCCTCCAGGAGTGAATGTTACTTCGTCGCGCCGCGAGCAAGCGCCTGGCATACCTGCCAGCGAGCCTCATTCCCAACAATGAGTGTTAAATAAAAAAAAAAAACCTGATAGCTCCGCATCGCGGTACTATTATATCGCGAAGAGTGTCGCGGGAGACCTCCGGCTTCGATTTTAACGATCCTTCTGCGAAATGTCGCTACGATGCGTATCCTGTTACGGGTATCAGGTACATTTATGGCAACTGACAAGGTAATTCAATAGTGAATAATGAAACTGCATTACGTAAGCGATCGAAGAAACCGCTAAAATGAAACGTCCAGTAAACATGACATAATTCTTTCTGTGTAGTAACACATCGCATTTACCTACACCATTTCGATGGCAAATGGTGTTTTCATTATCTCGCTCCTGTCAAGCTTGTGTGTTTTTCGTCGCAGCCCGAATGTGCGGCGAGCATTTACATAATTCGTGCATTTACATAAATATCTAATAGTCTGTATCAAATACCTGCTACGGCTACATTTAATCTTCGACGTTCAGCGTTGCGAGTCGTCTTGGTTATCGCGGAAGTTACTTTAAATGCGTTCTCTTTATAAAATTCATTTAAATAAATAAAGAATAATTGGTTTAATGACATTTATCGATATTATATTTTCGTTCGAATCAATTATCGCTGAAAATTGAGAATTGATGTGCGACTTTTAAGTGCTTCTCCAAATATATTCTTTGCCGTTCCAAATTTATATAAAATTTAACGTTTGTCCGAAAAACTTGTCACGAGCGTTAACTTTAAAATCCATTGGGATTCAATTACTGGATCTTTTTCTGGACTATTTTGTTTATTTTTAAAAGAAGACAAAACTCGATAGGGAAAAACAAATTGGCTCTAAATAAATATTTCCGAGAATAGCGCATAACAGTTATAACAGCAAGTGTGCAAGAGACACATATTTCAATAAATGCGAAATGAACTCTTAAGAAACGTAAGGCGCGGTATATCGGTCAATTAAACGCTCAATAAAAAGCGCGGTTATAAAAAGAATATAGACGACCGCAAAAAAGCTGGGCGTACACGAAAATTGCAACAAAAGGACTCGCGCAGGGATAAACGAACTAACGAGCCATCGTACGTCGCGGCTGTCGGGCGTTAACGATAAAAAATCATCCGAGTGCAATGCACATCGATCGCGAAAGGAATCCCGAGGAAAAACGAGCGGGAATACAACGTACGTTTCAAAGGTTAAAACACCACGTGCCTCTGCAACGTACTTGAACTCCATTTATACATACTTTGTATGGTAACACAACACGCGATCAACCGCGGTATGTTGAACTTTTTTTTTAATTCATCCGCGCGTAAAGTTTAAGACATATTTTGACAAATTTCACTTTAATTACGCGCGCAAGATTTCGTTCGTGTGACATTCGTTCGCCGATCTCGTTTCTCGCTGATCCCAAAAAATAATCGTCGAGTTTGAAACATTAGTGGCGACAAGTGATAAATTAATGGTGACGAGGCGACGACAAGAGCGCAGATCGATAGATAACTCCCGAGTTTGGCTACATCGTGGCATAAAGGCTTATGGATATAAAAGCGGGTAATATAAGGCTTATGGGCTTCTTTTACTATGCGCATCGGTCTATAATAAAGGTTCGAACCGGTATCATCGTGGCATTTGAAGCAATACGCCGATAGCACAGGGCACTGCTATCTATAAAAGGAGGACGCGGTGGATAAACGCTCGTCAGTAGTACCGTGCACGCAATATCTGGAAAACGAAGCAGTTGAGGTAAGAGCCGCGCAGAAACGCCTGTCAGTCAAATCTCAAACGGCGCGATATCGCAGTCGTCGCTCTTTTGTGCAGTAATTGTTCCGGAAGCTTCAACGAAAGTTTCGAAATCACTTGGCACGCACTTGTCATTTACGATTTTAAATCACGCCTGCACACGTAGAAAAATTTTACAGGAAAATTTTACATGCTAAACGAATACCGGACAAACGAGAGTCGCAAGTTTATAATTTTCACGCTTCATTTCCAATGCTGTGTTTGTAAAGTTGTTCTATCGTTTCGTGTAAACTTTGTTGTTCGAAAAGGTGACGTGAGTCGAATTTTGTCTCAGAAACTTTGATACGAATTTATACTAATGACGCGCAACACGGCGGCTCCACGACTGGCAGTCGAGCGAATTCCTAATCCATCTTCGATCCTGTCCAGGATGAATCCGCATTTAATTATCTTGCTGAGCCTGGCGGCAGTAATATCGGCGGCAAATGAGCCGATAGCCATCATCAGGCAGGAGCAGGACATCGGCAGTCCGGACGGTAGCTACTTCATGAGATGGGAGAGTGCGAACGGGATTACTTTCGAGGAGCAGGGCGTCCAGAAGAATGCCGGCCAGAAGGACAAGGAGGCTGAGGAGGTGCGCGGCTCGGCGACGTGGACCGCGCCCGACGGGCAGAAAATTAATCTCGGCTGGCTGGCAGACGAGAACGGTGCCGTTTTCCAAGGAGCGCATCTGCCGACCCCGCCACCCCCGCCGGCAATTCCGCCCGCCATTCAGCGCGCCCTTGACTGGATAGCCGCCCACCCTTACCAGGAGGAGAGGAACAAAGTGTAACTTTCGCATCGCTCGCTGCAGACACAGTTGAAAGTTGACACTACGCTTGCGTATGCTTAGCTTGACATATCGAATGTAAAAAGACAAGTTTGTATAAAAATTTCGTATGCCGTGGGAAGATGCGACTTAATTCCCGACGACCGCTCTCGTCATTTCATAAAATTGTATTCTGTTTTAAGTGCCCCCCAACGCGCGATCAATTACGATAATTGTGATATTGAATTGCGTTCGGGATAAATGCGATATTGAAAGCTTCTATTAGGGAGATAGACTCACAATCGGTTATAAAATCATTAAAATTTACAACAGCTTGTTTAATGTGTATTATGATATCATTAAGAAATAAACGCTGTCAATTATATTATTGGAAAATATCGCGTTGTCATGTTTATTTCAATATCGCAATTATCCAGGTTAACTATAATTCAAATGGTTCTATTAATCTGATTAATCATAGATCAACAGATATACAGAGAAATGAAAGAGAGTTATTGGTTTAAGAGCAGAAGCTTGTAAGTTAATAAAAAAATCTCAGATATATATATAGCTACGTTTCTATATATATTTAGCAATATATAAATCTACCAGTCCACCTTATCCATTTACTTCGAGTATGCGCAAAAATAATGATTATGTGTCAGAAAGAAATTCTATATCTGTAATCGCGAGTGTTTATTTTTAAGGATCCTTTCTATAAAAAGTTACTGCCTCTCAACGTCGGAGATTAAACAATTGTGGGAAGCAAATATTTCTCCTTTCACGACGTACTGCCGCTTTCTTCGCCTACTTTGTTAGAGAATTCACGAGAATATTCTGAGAGCGGTTACTTGACGCGGGACTAGCAAACTCACTCGAGTTGGATGTGGACAGACGACTATGCGGTAATAGAAAAATCGGGGTCAAAAATGGTCATTGCGGCAAAGGAGGAAGATAGATTGTTACGTAAGCGAATTATAGCGAGAGTTCTCGCTGCCGCGCTGTCGGCTACGCTATCTTCTCGAAACTGAAGATAATATAGCCAGACAGTTTAAGCAACAGGATAATATAGCGAGACAGTTTAACCAACAGGATAATTATGCGGACGATAACACGCGCATTACAAGTATTACGTATGTATGTTCTCAATAAGTTGCTCAATATCTATTCTTATATATCCAATAATTTGATATTAATAATCAAGGTTGGTAAGTAACTTGTTACTTGTAACGAAGTTACAGTTACAATTACTACTTTTTGGTAACTAACTTAATTTCGTTAGTTTCTGTTCATTTGTAACTGTAATTGAACTCAGTTATATTTTTTCGATAAATACCCTAGCGGAAAAAATTTCTATAAATAACTACAAAAATTGACTTAAAATAGAAATTTGTAGAAATTTTTATATTTTCGTTGAAACATTTATTTTTTCGTAAAAATATCTACGAAGTAGTACCACAAATTACAGTGTTCTTAAATAAAAAAATTATTGCGAGTAGTATTTTATGGAAATGCACAATTTTGTAAAAATAAGTACAATACTTTACTAGTTTTAAAATTTTGAGAAACAATAAAATCTTAAAGAAATAAAACATCCGCTTACTTGTAGAATATTACAAAAATTAACAAAAGTGTTCCACTTCTAGCATTTTCATGTTAATTTTTATAACACTTTTTAAATTTACGTAGAATTTCTTAGATTCTGGCAGTTATATTTTATAGTTTTGTAGAATTTTGTAGAATTATTTCCGGCAGGGTAGTAACTAATTTAATAGTTACATTAATAGTTACTTTATATATACCATATTTGTAACCTCCACAAATCGCATTAGGCTTATCTTGCCTTTGCGCATAAACGCCTCCCTAGTGGCACAATTTATTGGCTATACATTAGCTAACATTGGTTAAACATTGGTTATGTTAGGAGTGCATTGGCCAACATTTTCCAAATATAACATCAATATTGGTCATAAAGTAAATGCAAATATACTAATGATATTGCATCTAGATGGTTATTTAATATTGCATTGATATTGAAATTGTATTAGCCAAGACTGCCCAACAAGATTGTAATATTGAATATAGAATAAATGCTAATGTAACGTCAATTAGTCAAGTCCCAGATAACATGCATGTCTAAAAGACATCTTTAAGACGTCTTTAACACGTCTTTTAGACATCTTTTAGACATACACGTCTAAAAGATATCTTAAAGACATCTTAAAGAAGTCTTGAAGATGTCTTTTAGACAAGCATGTTATCTGGGGTTATACTACGCCTTATAAAGTATAATCTAATATGAATGTATTTACCTAGATAACAATTCTTGCGCGCAAATTTTGCTTGTCTTATGCATGCAAATTTGTATAAGATTTGCCTGAGTTTTGTCCGTAAGATATGTTTAGTCTGTGCTTTTGCATGCAAGTGGCTAGCTCATGTATTAACGTATAATTTTGCGCGCAAATATCTATCAACTCACGTACAAAAATGGCTCAACAACGCAAGCAAAATTCTATTCAAGTGCGTCGTCATAATGCCAGATGTTTGCGCGCAAAATGTTTTCTGGGTAGAAGCAACCGCTCTTATGAGATGAATCACATGATTTTGTAACGGAGTTTGGTCGCAGGAATGCTGTTCCAAACTATGAAATATATTGTTATTTCCAATAAATCGCAACGACTCCCATCAAATTTCCTCACTACCGTTGCTTATATGTTTATGTCCTGCCAGTCCCCGCAGCCCGGACGCGCTCCTAGCTCCTACCGCTTGAGCGGCAATCCCCACTTTCGGTACCTCACCTACAGGCGGGACTGTGTGCGAGACCCGACGTTGTGTGCGAGTCTCACGAAAACGGACGACATTTCCGCCGGTGCGTGTACATACAATACATACGTCGGAAATCGAATTCACAAGTGTGAATCCTGTATAATAGTTTAACGAAAGCTACGTAACCGTCGTGACCGTCGTGACTATGGTGTAAGGAAAACAAGGTGTGCATGTTATGTATACTGTTTGTATACTGTTTAATAATATATTTCTTATTAAATACAACTTCTCGTGTTATTAAAAGAAAATTTATTAACATTACTATATTTAAATAAACCTATCTTATATCCATAATATTTATAAAATTTATAAAATATTTATAAAATTTCAGAAAATTATTTACTTTTTCTTCATATATGTATTATACGAGATTATTTAATTCATCAATTAATGCTTCTTTACATTTATTTTAATATTCTTTTATATATAATTTTGTCATTTTTTACTTAAAATTAATTTATTATATGAAATAAAATTGTATTATATATAGAACAGGAAAAGAATTTGAATCTTATTTAAAAATTGCGGCTTTAATTCAGTTGGCCAATAAATCAATATGTCTCCTATTTGGCCCAACGCGCTCATTGGTTATTAGAGATGGATGCGCAAGAGCACACCTTGTTTTCCTTACACCATGGTCGTGACCATGGTGGAAAAAGCAAGGTGTAGCATTGCGCATAATGGCGGCAGCTTTGGCGGTTAAACCAATCAGAAGGTGACCCATTTTGCATCAAACGCATTGATGGAAGCAGCCATATTACTTTTCTTGCAAAATGGGTCGCGCGATGATTGGCTCTTAAAAATTGAACGAGTGCGCAGCGTCGGGAATGCTTCACCTTGCTTTTTCCACCATGGTCGTGACCGTGTCAGCGTCAGCGTTGCGTCAGCGTAGCGTGTCAGTTATTACACTTGCTACACCGAGTCAATTATTAAACTCATTTTATCAAGCCCCCTCCTAGGTATCCTACCTGTGCACTTCTTGAAAGACATCGTTAGAGTGAGACGCCGTGGACGTCCAGTAAAATAGCAATGGACGTATTTCGCTCGAATTTGCCACCGTCAGAAATAGCCACTCGCGTGAAAGAGAACTGGTGTTGGACGCAAGTGAACACGATTAAGTTCGACTGTACATGGACGATAAATAACTTTAGTTATTGCTACGGGAAGGGTAGGCTCGAGAAGACCCTCAAGTCAACCACATTTTCAGCAGGGGACAACAAAAAGTGGAAGTGGTACCTGGAACTGTATACTACCCCCCTGGCCCAAGACTACGTATCGCTGACAATCATTATTGATGAGGGCAAAAAAGAAGTTAACGGTAATTTCACAATTTATATTCTTAATGCCAAGAAAGAAAAAATAGAACAAGCAGTGGTCAATAAGTCCGTTTCCACGTTGAGTGGTTATCGTGCAACATATGATATCGTAAGGTTCTTAAAGAAAGACTATATTTCTTTGTACCCGGCACACACACTGCTACCAAATGACACACTCACGATATTGTGCGAGCTCAGCATAAATACGGACATAATAAACATCTCCAGCCAAAGCATCGCAAAAGAATTTCAAGTACCAGAGTGCCAGGCGCTCGACAATCTCGGGCTACAGTTAGAGAACGAAAAATTTTGCGATGTGACACTCACTGTCCGCGATAAGGAATTTCGTGCGCATAAAGTAATTATTGCAGCACAAAGTCCTGTCTTTTCGGCAATGTTCGAACACAACATGGAGGAGAGTAAGAAAAATCACGTAGTCATCACCGACGTGGACGCCGAAGTTTTGAGAGAAGTGTTGAGATTTATCTATACCGGTAAAGTAGCTAATCTGAATGTGATGGCAAAGGATCTGTTGGCCGCGGCAGACAAGTACGCATTGAAAAGGCTGAAGGTGCTGTGTGAGAAAGAACTTTACAACACTTTAACCTGTGAGAATGCAGCCGATATGCTCATCTTAGCCGATCTCTATTGCTCCGATCAGCTGAAATCAAAGGTGCTAGACTTCATGAATATATGCGCGGATGTGGTGCACACCGCAGGTTTCAAGTCTATGATACAATCCCATCCGCACCTGGTACCAGAAAGTTTACAGACTATACCTAACAAGAGATTCAAATCGCAGTGTTAAAAGTATGACATGCATCTCAAAATAATCATCACTAACCCCAGGTATGTCCTTCATATTGCTCCCATTACTGTTTATTACTTTTGCTGTCTGCTTGAATTTTTGTATGATATAATGAAATATATGCAAAATAAATGTTTTCTAGTATACCACTCTATGGACTAAAAGAAAACTCAACAACGGAAACCTACATGTGACTCACTCGATTGTCCAACTTAAACGAGCTCCGCTTAAGAATATTCCGAGATCAATGAGAGGAGAAAGAAAATCGTCTTGTGCGTTCGGTTAATCGAGAGCGAGTTTAAAGCCGCTTCCACACATACTCGGACTCTTGTGTACAAGTGTCGGTGAGAAACTTAACGCGATCACAATTTGCACACTGCTCATTTTATATCGACACATAGAAGAGAAGAACGAGGTACTCGCGTGTGTACGTATTTGCGTTCATACTCGTATTATCAACATCAGCATGCGAATCGTAGTGTTTTCATCGGCTTGAGCGCGAGTTGATTCAATAAAAGCAACAGCAGCACCAGCATTGCACTTGTTTTCTTCAGTATCAATGCCGATGCTAGTCGATCTTGGTGATATTGGAAGGTATCAGGAGTATCATCGCCATTGTGAATTATTTTTTGTTTCTGTTATCATCGACTGAGCGGATTGGAAGTGGTGATGTTGAAGATACAGTATGAAGCAAGAGAGGGTCAAGGAAAGGCGGGGTTTTTTCTCTACATAACTCACCATTACGATTGCCACAGCAACAGCAGCAACAATAGCAACAATATTAGCAATACGCGATTTACGACGGAAATAGTGATAACCGTCAATGATTAAAATAGGCACAGTTTTGTTTTCAGAAATATTGCATATTGTTAGCGAAGTGATAAGATGGAATTATTATCATTAACAATTACGTTATTAAATTTAGGTTTGACTATAAACATTTTATTCCTTTGAAGAAGAGCATGAGGACGAAAGATGGATCAAACAAATGGCTTATACGTATTGCCATGTGCTCGTCACGACTGTGAGAATTAAATATGTTACTTCTATCGATAATGATTTTTTTTAGTTCTTGTCTTACTTCCCCAAGAGACATCATTCTAGTTGGTTATTTTTTATGATCTCTTATCCATCGTACGATCCAATGTAAGATTATTATTATTATTGTTATACTACTATTATTATTAACGCTATGCTATTTGTGTTTTATGTATTTTAGTCTACATTTAAAGAACTCCTCTTTTCTCCATTTTCTTTGTAAGGATAAACTGTATTCTCCACATATTTCAGTTCCCCTATTAGTAGGCACAGTTTTGTTTTCAGGAATATTGCATATTGTTAGCGAAGTGATAAGATGGAATTATTATCATTAATAATTACGTTATTAAATTTAGACTTGATTATAATTTATCGGATCTACATTAGATATATCGCAGCTATGTTTACTGCATATTCTCGCACGTATGTTTGTTACATTATTTTAAAGACCTTATAATGTTTAAGAAGTTCGCAGTTTATGACATTTACATATAAGAAAATTAATTTTAAGGTTTTTCTAATCAAAGAATAAAATTTATCTTTACTTTGTAATAAAAAAAATTACGATTAATAAATCAATATGTCTCCTATTGACCTATTTGGCCCAACGCGCTCATTGGTTATTAGAGATGGATGCGCAAGAGCACACCTTGTTTTCCTTACACCATGGTCGTGACCGTGTCAGCGTCAGCGTTGCGTCAGCGTAGCGTGTCAGTTGTTACACTTGCAGTTGTTACACCGAGTCAATTATTAAACTCATTTTATCAAGCCCCCTCCTAGGTATCCTATCTGTGCACTTCTTGAAAGACATCGTTAGAGTGAGACGCCGTGGACGTCCAGTAAAATAGCAATGGACGTATTTCGCTCGAGTTTGCCACCGTCAGAAATAGCCACTTGCGTGAAAGAGAACTGGTGTTGGACGCAAGTGAACACGATTAAGTTCGACTGTTGTACATGGACGATAAATAACCTTAGCTATTGCTACGGGAAGGGTAGGCTCGAGAAGACCCTCAAGTCAAACACGTTTTCAGCAGGGGACAACAAAGAGTGGAAATGGTACCTGGAACTGTATCCTGGAATGGCCCAAGACTACGTATCGCTGAGAATCGTTATTGATGAGGGCAAAAAAGACGTTAACGGTAATTTCACAATTTATATTCTTGATGCCAAGAAACAAAAAATACAACAAGCAGTGGTCTATAAGGACTTTCCCACGTTGAGTGCAACATATGATATCAAAAAGTTCTTAAAGAAAGACTATATTTCTCAGTACCCGGCACACACACTGCTACCAAATGACACACTCACGATATTGTGCGAGCTCAGCATAAATACGGACATAATAAACGTCTCCAGCCAAAGCATCGCAAAAGAATTTCAAGTACCAGAGTGCCAGGCGCTCGACAATCTCGGGCTACTGTTAGAGAACGAAAAATTTTGCGATGTGACACTCACTGTCTTCTATACGGAATTTCGTGCGCATAAAGCAATTATTGCAGCACAAAGTCCTGTCTTTTCGGCAATGTTCGAACACATGGAGGAGAGTAAGAAAAATCACGTAATCATCACCGACGTGAGCGCCAAAGTTTTGAGAGAAGTGTTGAGATTTATCTACACCGGTAAAGTAGCTAATCTGAATGTGATGGCAAGGGATCTGTTGGACGCGGCAGACAAGTACGCATTGAAAAGGCTGAAGTTACTGTGCGAGAAAGCACTTTACAACACTTTAACCCGTGAGAATGCAGCCGATATGCTCATCTTAGCCGATCTCTATTGCTCCGATCAGCTGAAATCAAAGGTGCTAGACTTCATGAATATATGCGTGGATGTGGTGCACACCGCAGGTTTCAAGTTTATGATAAATTACTATCCGCACCTGGTACCAGAAAGTTTACAGACTATACATAACAAGAGATTCAAATCGCAGCATTAAAAGTATGACATCTCAAAATAATCATCACTAACCCCAGGTATGTCCTTCATATTGCTCCCATTACTGTTTGTTGCCACTTTTGCTGTCTGCTTGAATTTTTGTATGATATAATGAAATATATGCAAAATAAATGTTTTCTAGTATGCCACTCTATGGACTAAAAGAAAACTCAACAACGGAAACCTACATGTGACTCACTCGATTGTCCAACTTAAACGAGCTCCGCTTAAGAATATTCCGAGATCAATGAGAGGAGAAAGAAAATCGTCTTGTGCGTTCGGTTAATCGAGAGCGAGTTTAAAGCCGCTTCCACACATACTCGGACTCTTGTGTACAAGTGTCGGTGAGAAACTTAACGCGATCACAATTTGCACACTGCTCATTTTATATCGACACATAGAAGAGAAGAACGAGGTACTCGCGTGTGTACGTATTTGCGTTCATACTCGTATTATCAACATCAGCATGCGAATTGTAGTGTTTTCATCGGCTTGAGCGCGAGTTGATTCAATAAAAGCAACAGCAGCACCAGCATTGCACTTGTTTTCTTCAGTATCAATGCCGATGCTAGTCGATCTTGGTGATATTGGAAGGTATCAGGAGTATCATCGCCATTGTGAATTATTTTTTGTTTCTGTTATCATCGACTGAGCGGATTGGAAGTGGTGATGTTGAAGATACAGTATGAAGCAAGAGAGGGTCAAGGAAAGGCGGGGTTTTTTTCTCTATAACTCTCACCATTATGATTGCCACAGCAACAGCAGCAACAATATTAGCAATACGCGATTTACGACGGAAATAGTGATAACCGTCAATGATTAAAATAGGCACAGTTTTGTTTTCAGAAATATTGCATATTGTTAGCGAAGTGATAAGATGGAATTATTATCATTAACAATTACGTTATTAAATTTAGGTTTAACTATAAACATTTTATTCCTTTGAAGAAGAGCATGAGGACGAAAGATGGATCAAACAAATGGCTTATACGTATTGCCATGTGCTCGTCACGACTGTGAGAATTAAATATGTTACTTCTATCGATAATGATTTTTTTTAGTTCTTGTCTTACTTCCCCAAGAGACATCATTCTAGTTGGTTATTTTTTATGATCTCTTATCCATCGTACGATCCAATGTAAGATTATTATTATTATTATTGTTATACTACTATTATTATTAACGCTATGCTATTTGTGTTTTATGTATTTTAGTCTACATTTAAAGAACTCCTCTTTTCTCCATTTTCTTTGTAAGGATAAACTGTATTCTCCACATATTTCGGTTCCCCTATTAGTAGGCACAGTTTTGTTTTCAGGAATATTGCATATTGTTAGCGAAGTGATAAGATGGAATTATTATCATTAATAATTACGTTATTAAATTTAGACTTGATTATAATTTATCGGGTCTACATTAGATATATCACAGCTATGTTTACTGCATATTCTCGCACGTATGTTTGTTACATTATTTTAAAGACCTTATAATCTTTAAGAAGTTCGCAGTTTATGACATTTACATATAAGAAAATTAATTTTAAGGTTTTTCTAATCAAAGAATAAAATTTATCTTTACTTTGTAATAAAAAAAATTACTATTAAATAAATCAACGTTATTATTCTCTTTTAAATGTCGTTAAGGGGATGCTGGAGTGATTCTGCACTTTCGCACCTTTTGCACTTAAAACCGTCTGTTTCGTGGAAAGATTTGTGTAATACACAAA